CTCCCCAGCCCTCCCTACGCTCTACAGCATTCATCAACATTGGGTGGAAGAATCTTATCTCCCCCCCCCAACTAACACACACACTTTCCCCCTGGACCTCCGACTTGCCCCCTCCTCCCAAGCCATGCCAATCAGAGGCGCATCTCCTTCGAAATAACAATTGCGGCCCACTCCTCTGCATCGCGCGATGAGGTCATTTACACCGAGAGCTCTTTCTCCCGTTACTTAATGCAGATTAAGAAGATCCTGCGTGTACGTTCTGTCACTCGATTAAAAAAAAACCCATTAAAAATTGGCATGTTCCAAGTTATAATAACTAAAGCTGTTCGACGTGGGTTGATTTTTGGTCACAAGCTAGCATTTTTGTAAATCCTAAAATGTTCAGCTTTTGCCAGAACTTCCAAGTCTATGACACAATTTGACTGGAGGGTGTTTTTAGTTTGTTTGTTTTGCTTTCGCCCAGGTTTCTGGTAACCAAAATGGACCAAACCCACAAATCCTTCGTCTTCAGAAACGGCAACATTTCCATTTTTAAACCCCTTTCAGTTTACTTGCCACTGCATAAGCTAGCCATGCCAAGGACTTGTAGACGGATCCGTCGGAGTACCTGATCCCACCTGCGTGAGCGTAAAACAAACTTCCAGTCTTCAGTCTTTCGCATATTATTACCTGGAAGTAAGTCCCATGGGTCTTATGAGACTTACTCCAAATTTCAAACATGCATTGGATCGGTTGCGTGGCTATTAGATGGCGATCCTAAAGCATTTGCTTACGATCCATGTGATTAGAGATGGGCTGTGATCTCCAGGCATTTAAAACCCGCTACTTTGTATGGCAGTGGCGCAACCTGCCTTCTTGAGGCCTAACTCATATCCTCCAACATTTCTCCGATGAAAATAGGGACGTCCTATTCAACAACAACAACGCCACAGTAGTTTCAGGAATTTCACCTAGCTTGGGTTGGCTCCAGATTTATAGCGGAAGCTCCACCATGTCTACTCGAAAGTAATTCCTTTGGAATTCCATGGCCTTGCTCCCAAGTAAGGGGGCGGGTCAGGATTGCAGGCTCAGAATCAGAACCGACCCATGGTAATGAACAGGAGGTAACTAGCTTAGACCCATGGATTTCACCGAGCCTACTCTAAGCACGACTAAGTCGGCCTCTGACCCATCTTCTCCTAGCGCTGCCCTACATCAGCCCTGAGAGCTTGGCGGGAAGACGATGCTCGGGTCTGCTTGAAGCTAATCTAGGACCGTCTAGGCGAGAGTGGTTTTGGCTCTGAACCCAAAATGGTTTGACATTCAGCTTGCACACCCTTACACCCGACCCCCCGCGCGTTGACTCGGGTGTAAAGCGCGGCAGGATCGCAGCTCTGACCACTCCGCTCCTATACCGGCTCTCCACCTTCGGTCCAGGGGCCTTTGCATAGAAGCCAACTCCTGGGAGCTGAGGTCCCTTCGACCCCCCCCCCATAAAATATTCGAGGGGGCTGCCCCGACCCAAAGTTGATGGGCATTGCCATTCAAATAGTGTGCGTGCACCGCATCTTATGATCAATTATGCGAGGCGGGGTTTACCTGCCCCCCCTCAAAAAAAAATTCAAGAGCCTTTGACATAGGAATCGGTTATTTTATTTTATTTTTAATGCCTGGTTGAGAAAGTCCTGCGAAGGGAGAATCCTGACACTTGCCCCCGCCCCCATTTCACGTGGGAATCGAACTGGCCCGAAAGCGAGCAGGAGAGAGATAAATAAGGGAGGCGGCGGCTGCTTCCTTTCCTGGGAGAGCAGCGATTCTTGGCAAGGGAGTCTTTGGCAGAGCTTCGGCCAGCTGGAGCCTCTTCCAGGTTGTCAGTTGCGCGGGCTCCTTTCTCCTTCTCCTTCTCCTCCACCTTCCTCCCGCTCCTTCCCAAGTCTCCCCTTTGGTTTTGGCCCAGAGAGACTCCGTTTTCTTGGCTGGCGTCTTTCAGGTTCTCCTCGCTCACCCGCACTCTGCCACAGGGGACGATGACTGGGGGGGGGCGGGGGGACACGGAAACCTGCCCCGGGGGAGCCCGGCCCCTCTCGCGGGCGAAAGTCCCGTCCCATCGTCCGCTTTCCTGGTTTCCTTTCTCCCCATTCTACCGCACAACAACCCCATAAGGTTGTTTAGGATGAGCACTGGGGACTGACGGCTCAGCATCACTGGGTGGAAATTCATGGCTGGCCCGCATCCCGATGCTCTAACCATTGCAGAACACTGCTTTCCCTCTCCTGGTAGGCGCTGCATCATATGACGACTCTCCAGGTTTTGTCACGTTCTGGCGTGACTAGACAACTGGATCTAGCGCGGCGCCGCGGTGCAGTTAGGTACCGTGAGGTTCTGGGCTGAGTGGTCTTGTGCCCTCCTCCGCCCCTGGGATCGGGTTTAACCTTTCCGACCCTGCTGCGCTTGGAAGTCCTGGACTTCTGTTCTGCCCCCAAAGTCCCACCCCAAAGGCAATAGTGGCTGGTGACAACTGAAACTGGTAGGGCGGGTGGCAGGGAGGTCACCAGTAGGTGGAGCCAGAGCACATGAGAGCCAAGTCACTCTGGTTTTGCCCCGCTCTGCCTCCCTTGCTAAAAGACAGCGCTACCTCCTGGACTGGAGGCGGTAGGCAAGTCGGGGGCTGGCTGAGAGCAGACTGAGGTTGCGGGGCACTGCCCCATCCTATCCGCCCGAATGGGTCGCCAGTCTCCACTGCAAAGGCACCGCAGCTTCCTGTGTCCATCACCGTTAACTGACTCCGACCCTAACCCATCCAGCAGAAGATTCCTACATTGCAGGGGGTTGGACTAGATGACCCTTGCGACCCTTTTCTAAGTGCGTCTTTGAATGTCTACGACATAGACGTTCTGCCTGTGCTCTCATCCCGCCCATCGTAAGGACGAGCGTCCTGCTGTTTAACTATCCCGATGAGCTTTTTCTATCTGGGAAAGGCAAAGCTTGTCGAGATGGTATCTTCTAGTAGGGGACGCTTCGTTGTGCACTGTAACCTGTCTGTGTCCCCCCCCCCTCTTAAGTAAACAGCCCTGGGGACGTCTGTTGAAAGGCGGTAGAGAAATCCCAATTGCACCGAGGTTGGAATCCTGGACGCACCGACAGTGGGACCAAGCGCAGTTGAGCGCAGTAGGGAGAAAGGTGTCGATCCTGCTCTCCGCACAGACTTTCTTTTGGTTCGCGTTTTCTGTTTCCATGCTCTTCCCATAGGGCAAATTTTCTGGATGAGCCATGGGATGAAGTTCCACTCCCATCAGCCCTAGTCAGTATGCCCTGTGGTCAGGGATGATGGGAGCTGGAGTCCAGCAACATTGGAAAGGCCGCAACGTCCCCACGCCTGTACCCAGAGCCCCGACGTTTACACGAAAGAACTGCGTCCTTAAACTTGTTTCAGCCTTATATATCGGCCGTTTTTCAGTGTAAGCGATTTCCCATCTGCTCCAGCTCCATGGAGCTGTGTTTTATTCTGCCCCGAACCTCTCCCGCTAAGCGTGTGTGCGTGTTTTGGGGAGAACGAGTTGGCCGAGGTCACTTGCCCAACTACTTCGCTTTGGGGGAAGTAGGCGCTGGTACTCCGATTCCCCACCCCCACCCCGCTCGCTCGCTCTGTCAGGCTGCTGAGAAATACCTCGAAATCTTTCCAATGGAAACAAAACCAGATTTCCCAACCCTAAAGAACAGTCCCGCTTTTTGCAGTGAGACAAGCACGAACCAAACACACCGGAGACTAGAAACTTCTCCCCACGGTTGCTCTGTTCAAAGGGAGGGTGCTGAGGAGGTCGCGCTTCCTCGACAGCCGTGCCCTCTAATCCCTCTAGCCCCCGCCTTCAGCCAAATCCAGTTGCAGTTCCTAGGTAGAAGGGAAACTCTGCACATGCTCAGAAGCACCCTCTTTCTAGGATCACCTAGCGTGCGGCGGGCGAGGTTTACGCCCTGGCCTCCAGCCGCTTCTCAGAAAGTGCCTGGCTACACAGTTCATCTCCTCCAACCTCCGCTTCTCTGTGCAGGAGGCGCAATCCACGTTTGAAGCCATCGGGAAGGTGCGCGTCGGAACAGGTGTAGTGGTGGGGGCGCATGCTCAGATCTCCTTAACTTTTTCTTCCCCAACCATTCATTCACCCCAGAAAGCACCGGCTTCAATGGGAGCTTACTCCCAAGTAAGTGTGCACGGGGTGGGGCAGCTGGGGGGAGTGTCTCCCGTGGGGACTGAAGCGAGAACGTTTAATTCGTATTAATTAATGCGGAGCGCAAGGTCTGGGCGCGTGGCGCCTCTTGTTGACTGCCCGCGGGCGCCCCGTCCCACCCCCGCCCCCGCCCCTTTCCAGGGGAAGGGCAGGGCATGCGACCCCCCGCGGAGTCCAGACGCGATGACGCCTGCAGGGTGGGGCGAGGTGCGTGGGCGGGAAGCAGGTGGGCGGGGCCGAGTGAGGGGCTGCCGGGCAAGGTGGGCCGGGCGGCAGTGGGCAGAGCAGATCGGGGAGGACGAAGGGGAGGACGACCCTCCGCCCGCCCGCCCGTCCCGCTCCGAAAGGGTTAAAGCGCGGCCGCGGGGGGGCGGAGCCCCAGCCGGCCCTGGGAATAAGGCGCCGCCGCCCGGCCGCCTGCGCTCCCTTTCGCGGAGTGGTTGGCTGCGCCGGGGCGACGCGCGCGCGCCGAGCCGAGCGGAGCAGATGGTGCCAGGCGGCTCGTCCGGGATGAAGCCTCCGTCCGGCAGCTCTCGCCGGCGGAGCGGAGGGTAGCGCCGCCGGGCCAAAGGAGGGTGGCTGGCCGGCCGGCCGCTTGGCTGGCTGGCCCCAGGCGGGCCATGATCCCCCGCAGACTGAGCCCAGACGCGCCCGGGCTGCCGCGAATTCTCGCCTTGCGCCCCGTCGCGCAGGAGCTTCTCTAGGGAGTCCCGGGACGCCGAGCGCGTTTGCTCTCCAGCGAGGACTTCCGAGGCGATCGCGACCCTCCCCTCCCCGCCCCCCACCCACCCACCCGCCGCCGCCGCTACTGCTTTCTCCTCCTCCTCCACCTCCTCCTCCTCCTCCTTGTCTCTTCGTTCATTCCTTTTCTTCTCCTGAGGTTTTGTCTGTCTTTCTTATTTTTTGCCGTTTTCTTCCGTCCCTCCACCGAGCCTGCCTGGCACCATGCGGCTCCGTCTAGGACCCACCCTGTACGGTAAGTGAGGAGCACCCACCTCCACCCCCTCCATCCATTTTCGGGAGGTCTGGAATGCGGGACACGAATGTTTTGATCGTGAGGGTGGGCGAGGAAAAATAACTTGGTGGGGTTTTTTTTATTAGGGGGCGGGGAGATGGGGGAGAGACAACGGGACCTCGCGTGTAAACTGGCTGTCAAAGCGAGGGAAGAATGGGGCACGATCGGTCAGGAGTCCATTTGGGGGTTGTTCCTTTGAGTTCAGAAAGGAAAGGAAAAAGCGAAGCTTTATTTCCCATCCCCTTGAGATGTCCCTTTTGAGAACACGGAAAATATCTCGTGGGAATACACACGCAGGCACACACACGCAGGCACTCGGTTGTTTGCCCACTCCAGCCCCAAGGCGACCTTGAGGTGGCACCATTTCCAAAGGCGCTATTATGCTCACGTGGACTGGAGATAATGGGCGTCTTCTGGGGCTGTCCAGTTATTCTGTGCTTTGATTGTTCTGAAATAATGAAATAACTGCTCTTTCCCCGATCCGGTGCCTTAATAATGTGGAGGCACACAAGCACCACACACTAGCGATGATGTCCTGGCGAAGGACGCTGTGTATGTATGTGTGTGAGAGAGAGAGAGCACTACTCTTCTGATGGTTTTCACCATCTCGGATGGATAGCCCCAAGGAAGATTACAGGAGTGGTCTAATTTGCCTGACTCAAAATTGCTCAGAAAGCCTCATTAGCAGCCCCCCCCATGCCACCTGGACAGGATTGTGCAACTTCTAGAGGGGTATCCGTTCAAAAGTGGCTCCGGAGGCTAGGAGGTTGGGTTCTGTAGGCACAGAGGAAACTGGAGACCTTTCCCCCTCCAGCTCAGCAAGGCCAGTTCTCTTCTCCGAGCAAGGTGAAGTGTCCTGAAGTTGGAAGGATGTGCACCGCTTCTTCTTGGCATTGAGAGGAGATTGACTCTAAAGGTGATGGACAGGGCCAGTGTGTGTGTGTGTGAGAGAGAGAGAGAGAGAGAGAGACTGCAATGGGCTTCTCCATCTCTGGAGGGCCGATCAGTGCTGAATTCATAAAGGACGGAGGATGTGTGCTGCCAGCGAATGAGGCAGGAGCCAAGGAATGGCAGGTGCTGCAGATTTCCCTGGCGCTGCTGTCCTGCAGGACAGATGCATGGCCTGTGTGGGTCCCAGGATCAGGAGACCGGGCTAGAGTTCAGACGAGGCAATGGCCCTGCCTGGCTGGCTGGCTGGCTGGAGGGAGGGATGCCGGTGGCTTTCTGCTCTACTCTGCTTGTTGCCATTTATAGCCTGGCCCCCAATGGGTTACGCAACAACAGGCAGCTGCTTATTTTGGGGGTGTTAAATTATGGACGAAAGAGGAGTTGGGTTGTTTTCAGCTTTATCCGCGTCACCAGCTACGTCAGACGTGCTACCTCTGGCCCCTCCCAGGGACACTTGTCTTAACCCCCCCAGCCTACGCACAACTGAGTTGTCATTTCTGATCTCAGCACCCACCATGGTTCCCCAGATTTAGGAGCAGGGCTTGAGTGTTGCCTGCCTTGGTCTCCGATCGCACACTGAGTAGCGCTTCCTGCCAGGTCCTGCACTGGAACACGCAGGCACCCCAGCTCCTTGGATGGGTCCTACCCTGGACAAACCTTGCTTGTCCTATGCAGCTCTGCTGATTCTGACACAGGATTCTATAAACACTGGAACATGCGTACCTGGACCAGCCATACAGACAGCCGCAAACAAGGATATATGTGACCAGGGGTGAAAATCTGGACTCAGTGAGCTCCCCCACAGATCATGTCAACTTGTGGCTCCAGATGGAAAATTGTTCAGCGTTAAGCACCCAGGACTAGAGGCAAACCATGAGTTATGGTGGTGGTGAGAGGGAATCTGTGGCATTCTGGAGTGCAGCTTGCTTTATTTATTTATTTATTTATTTATTTATTTATTTATTTATTTATTTATTTATTTCCATCTGACTGGATAGTGTGCACAGATCTTTTGTAAGCACATGTCTTCTGATTCAGTTTATTCTTCTAATTTCAAAGTTAATTTCCTCCATGTTTCCCTTTTCTTGTAATCTACACTGCAAACATAAAGAGGAAGTTGAATGCTGGGGGAGGGAGGACCCTCCCCAAGACAACAATAGCTAGGTAGGCTGAGCCTGCCCACTGTTTGCCTCCCACGTTGTGAGACGGCCAGTAAACAGATATGTGAAGCCCTGACCAACCATTAAACCCCATGGGGATGGAAGGAAGGAAGAAGCATTCCCTCTGTGAATGGAATCACACTGCAGGGCCAAATCCTTGACTTTTCTTTCCTGGAGTGGCCTGATGTCACTTTAACTGCAAATAGGTTGGCAACCAGCAAGTCAGATGGCACCCCTCTCAGGTCTGGTTCTGTCCAGCTGCCAATCCTTCCTGTAAGGGGTAAGCAAAGGCTCTTTCCAAAAGGGCAGTAATGCTCCATAGTAGGGGAGAGTTCTGGTATGTTAAGATGGGAATCAACACTTGATTAATGGAGCACCAGTACTGCTGCTATCATGGCATGCTGGACCCTGACCTGGCGCCAACACATTTAAAAGATCCCCAAGGTTCAGAACAGAGGCTGGTGGGGAAAGCGACGGGATGATGAGCTCCAAAGGCTGACACAAAACATGGCCCATTGAATATAGCCACCTTTTTCAGGAGAAGCCCTTTGCACCCACTATGAGTATTCATCAGGATGCTATTTGTTTATTTAAAAAAAGATTTAAAAAAACCTTTAAACCTAGTTGACTTTTCCAGCATTAAAACTTTGGATATCAGCATTACTTTCTTCTGGCAGAGGAAGACAAAACCAACAGCTGGCAGCCAAAGGAGCAGATAGGCCTCTCTCTCTCTTCCTTTCTCTCTCTCTCTCTTAAAGCCAGGGTAGCTGTACAGCATCTAGAGGAGGGAGGGCAAGGCTGCAAGGAGAGGCTCTCCCCCTTGGAGGATCCCAGTCAATACCATGCCCTGATTTTTAGAACAGATGTTCAGCCTGCAGGAAAGGTGGTGTGATGTGTGTTTCTGTAGTTCCTCCCTGCTTGAGAGAGAGCAGGTTCCTCGTGAGCTGCAAGGATCAAGAGGTGGAGGTCAAGATAGGGAGGAAATGGTGTCCCTTAAGAAGCCAGACTTTCTGCAAGAACTGGAAATACTGTCTCATTTCATCCCCTTCCTCCTGGGATTGAGAGCACATCTACTGCCATTGATTTCACTCCTACCTCTTGAGTTAAAAATGGAGCCAATCTAGCTGTGCATCCCAGGTCAGACCATGCTTTCAGTCTTGACGTGGTGATAGAAAACTTCTGTATTAATCCTCCCCCTCCCAAGTTCTTCCTGGCTAGTAGGCACAGATCTGATTTATTTTCGGTTTTGATTATTTGTTACCATTTTTATCCTGCCTTTCCCGCAGCAAGTTGATTCTCCTCTCTTGCCCCCACAACAACCCTGTGAGGCAAGTTAGGCTGGGGGGAAAGGACTGATGCAAAGCCCCCATTTTGCAGGCCACTACAGGGTTGTGTTGCCCAGTTGGGGGAAAGCAACCCATCCCGTCCCAGCTTCCCACCACAACTCTTCTTCCTTTCAACTATCCCAGGATCTGAGTCTGTCTGGCAGGATGTCCCACCTCCTTCCTTCCTCTGTGTGAAGGAAAGGCCCTCACGTGCACATTCACAAGGCACCAGGTTGGGGGAGATGGCAGGGGCTGCTTCCAGCTTCCTCACCTCTGCCTTGGAATCCTGCTGCATGTGACCCATGCCCCCATGCTGTTCCTTCCCATCATGGGGCAAGTTGTTCCTGCGCCTTCCCAAGGGAGTGGTAAAATCCATCCATAACAGTGTGTTTAAAAGCCAGAGTGCATTGAGGAGCTTGTGCTATTCGTAGTACAGACTGGAATCCTCTCACAAGGTTAATGAACATTTGGTGAAGTTTTCTTCTGAGGGAAGGATCAAGGGTTTTAAATCTCAGGAGAAGCAGTTTAGGAGGGAGAAATGTCTTTAAGAGCGGGGGTGGGGTGCTGGTGTCGGCTTGGATGGGGATTACAGGGCACACATTCTTAGTGCTCCAGCCAAGAACATCTCCTCTCATTGCAGTTTAGCAACAAGGGTAGTAAAATAGCTTTTTTGGTCTCATACAAATGCGCTCGGTCTCATCTGAGTCGTTCAGCTTTTCACCTTGAAAATTATGAATGAGCACCTCTTGCAGTTTCTGGGGGGGGGGAGGAATTGAAGCAAAGCATCCCCCATACGATGATGATTTTGTGGGGGGATTAGGTTGGAGAGGGGACCGGGAAGGTAACTGTGGGTGGGTAATTCCTGAGAATATTGGGGAAATGTGGGGTGGGTGGAACTGAGAAGGAATTTGCTGTGAAAACCCCCATGAGATTCAAGGGTGGGGGTGTGAGAGTTGGCTGGGGTGGGGCATAGGGAGGTCAGCAGTATCTAGAACTTGCCTGCAAGCCTCCCTTCCCCCTAAGATGAGGCAGAGAGGCCAGAGGGCTTTTATGGGGAGAGATGTGGAGCTTCCAATCCCTCTCCCCTCTGCTTTTTCTCTGCCCAAGCTCCAGCGAAAAGCCACAGGCCTGAATTATGGATGAGACTCCTTGGGTTACAGCCGGTTCCACCGCACCAGAGAGAGAGAGAGAGAGAGAGAGAGAGGAGTCCAGAGACAAGAGGCAAGCAGTCAACATTAGTAGCAGCTGCAGCTCCCTCTCTTCTCTGCCCCCACCCCTCTGCTCAAGATAAAGGCTTTTTCCCTGTTCTCCCTTGAGGGAAAACTGGCCTGCCAGTATTGGAGGAAATGGCCACTGCTGATGGCACTGTGGAACATAGGCTTCCTTCCACCCCACCCCAGGGTTTTAGGGGAAGTGTTTTGGCAGGAAGGGAGCAGGGAGGTCAGGGCAGATTTCCCTCCCTACTTCAGGGGTGAAAAACAGGTCCTGCAAACAGAATTTTGCCTCATGTGTCTCTTTGGTTGTGGAACATGCATGGTTGCTGCCTACTCAAAGCCATGCTTTTGGAGCTATAAAGCGACATGTATTTTTGTGACTATCAGTTCTGTAATTTGATTCACAACCTGAATCCCAGTCCTGCCTGTGTCATATCCTGCCAAAGTTGTGGCTGTTACTGTCACGAAGCCACCCATCAGTAAGAATGGGGTGGGGGGTGGGAGAGACACTCCTTTCCTTTCCTTGGCATGGCATATGTTATGTAAGTTAGGACTTTTTTTGTTGTTGAAAATTTATGTTTCTTTGCTACCAGCTTGCGGTAATAGTCCAAAACTGAGCACAAACAGAATTCTTTAAAAAACTGGGAAGAGGGGGAAGAATTGGATTCTGTGGTGGATTTGGTGGGGGGGCAGCATTTCACCTTGGCATCTGTTAGCAGCTGTCTTGCAATTCCGTCTTGTCCCACTGGCCATTCAGCCTGCCCCCCCCCCGTGTGCCTGCTCTGTTTAACTGGGTCAGTGCGAGACTTCTGCTCTTAATCTTACAGCAAATGGAGGGGTGGGGCAGGGGGTCCTGGCCTTCTCAGGTGCCGCATTTGTGAATCTCCTGACCTGTGGAGTGAAACCTTCCCTTAAAGAATTCTGAACGCTGGGGTTTGTAAAGGGTTGCTGGGAATTATAACCCCATGAGGAGGAAACTGCAGTGCCCAGAATTCTTTGAGGTAGCGAAATGGGCTTAAATTGTGCTTAGTGTGTACACTACCCCTATCTCCCATCTATGACTGGTGTAGCCAAAAGGAGGCTTTCCCCAGTATGCTTCATGCAAGTCCCAAAACAGTGAACGTATCAAAACTATAAAGTTTTGGCAGAGGGGTGTGTGATTTCAGGTGTCTCTTATTGAAGGGACATGGGGACTGTCATATTTCTGCCCTGTGGGGGGGGATTTACAATGTTGTTGATGCTGGTAAAGATGGAGCTGTGTCGAAGCATTCTGGGTGTTGGCGAGGCTCCTTGAAGGACTCCTGCGTTTGTGTGGAGCTTGTCATGAGCAGCATGGAGGCTGGAGAGAGTGGGAAGGCAGCGTAGGGCCCGCGTGGAGGTGGTGTGAACTACCGAAACGGCATCGGCAGCTTGTGTTACTCGTTTGCCACGTCACACTGCCCACACACATGCATGCAGAGGTTGGGGACCATGCACACTTGCACGAGGAGGAGGGGTCTCACGTGAGAAATTGCGTGCGAAGGATGACATCTTTGGCTCTCTTGCCTAGGGGAGCATGCCTCCTCATGTGGGATTACGCCTTGCAGGGTTGCCAGCTCTGGTGACTTGTGAGTCTCACGGTTTGGGATCTCTCTCTCTGCATCACAGCTCTTGAAAAATGGGAGGATTTGGGCTTTCTTTCTCTTCTTTTCTTTTAAATCAAAGTAATAGCCAGTAAATCAAAGATAAAGAGCTGGGAAATGTAACTGACCCATCAAGAACACAATGTTGACATTCTGTTTTGATCTTTCAAAATCATGTTTTTAACTGGAAGCCTGACAACTGAACCTTTGAAGTATCTGGGTAGTATGTGTGCATTTTGGGGGGAGTACTAAAGAGAGCTAGTGTGGTGTAGTGGTTGGAGCAAGGGTGGGGTGATGATGAAGATGAGGAGGAGAATAATGGAAATAGCCCCCCTAAGCTCTCAAGAGGAAAGCTGGGGTATAAATATTTTAAATCAGGGTTTCGCAAACTTAGGTCTTCTGATGTTTTTGCACTACAACTCCCATCTTCCCTAGCTAGCAGGACCAGTGGTCAGGGGTGATGGGGATTATAGTCCAAAAACAGCTGGAGACCCAAGTTTGAGAAACCCTGTTTTAAATCATGAGTGGGAAACTTATTGCCTTCCAGGTGTCATTGGACTCCAACTCCCAGCAGCCCCAGCTAGCATGTCCAGTAGACCGGGATAATGGGAGTTAATAGTCCAACAAAATCTAGGCGGCCACAGCTTCCCCAGCCCAGCTTTAAATAAATAGCTGTCTTGAAATAGCAATGCAGTGGGCGGACAGGGAAGGCGGGGCCACTCCTAGGATATTCCACATAAGGGCGGGGGGGGGTGATGGTTGCTGAAGGAAGCATCTCATTGCCTGTCCTTCTCTGCTTCCAGGCTTGGCTCCCACCTTCCTGCTCCTCTTGGCCTTTCCTCTGGTGGCCGCCATGTGCCCCATGCTTTGCACCTGCTACTTTTCTCCGCCCACGGTCAGCTGCCAGGCCAACAACTTCTCCTCGGTGCCACGGGTCCTGCCCGCCAATGCTCAGCGCCTCTTCCTGCAGAACAACCTGATTGGGACCCTGCGGCCCGGCATGTTTGGGCCGAGCCTCGTCACCCTTTGGCTCTACTCCAACAACATCTCCTCCATCCAGCCGGGCACCTTCCGCCACCTCCAAGCTCTGGAGTGGCTGGACCTGGGGGACAACCGCAATTTGCGCACCCTGGACGCAGACACTTTCCGCGGGCTGGAGCGGCTGCAGTCTCTGCACCTGTACCGCTGCCAGCTGAGCAGCTTGCCGACCACCATCTTCCGTAACCTCTTCAGCCTCCAATACCTCTACCTTCAGGAGAACAACCTGCTTTGCCTGCAGGTGAGCCAGAGTGCTTGGTTGTGGGTTAGCGTCGAACTTGGGCCACTGTCTTTGGCCTCTAAGTGGGAGCTTTTTCCCAGGTGGGCCGTGGAGGTATGGACCCCTTTCTCCTCTGGTGGTCCTCTGGGCTTAAGTTCCTTTTGACCTTGTGGGGCATATTCTCGAGGAAAGATGATGGGAGTGGGAAGGAAGAAAAATGACTGGCAGTGGAGCCTGAGGACAGATGGGGAATTTCCTCTGAGTTTCCAGCAAGCAGATGGATAGGAGAGAGTCTCACTGGGCAGAACAGGGAGGTGGGTCGATGAGGTGAGGTGTTGACATGTTTCCACATAGATGGTTTAAGATGTGCCTTCTGAGAGGACAAATGGAGGCCTCTCCGCCATTTCTCTCTGAAGACTGGCAAGGAACTGGTGTGCCGCTCAGCCTTCCACCCCCACATGGCTGGTCCTCCCCTGAAGGCAGGTTCTCTGTGCCCTGCCAGCGACTCACTTAAAAACCACATGCCTATCCGGCCTCAGGCGCGCTGTGGCTTAAGAGTAGGAGAGCTGCAGCCTGGCCTGCAGCATCAAAAATGCATTTGCAGATCATGCCTCAGTGCTTCAAGCCACATCCTTAGCGGGGGAGGGCAAAGTTTCTGGGTGGGGGACTTAGGAGCCAGCCTATATCATTTCCTCAACCAAAGCGCAGGAGTCAACTTCCTCATAAAACTCTGGCTTTGCGTCCAGCAGTAAATCCTGTGTAGCTGTGTGGGAGAGATCTGGAAAGGTGGGGAGACAGCAATGAATGTCTACAGTCTTGAGTTGACAATCGGCCTAGAATCTCCCATATGGAGGAAGAGGCCTTTGGGGCTGTTCCTTTTGCCAGCGGTGTCTTCACAGCTTGTCCTTTCTTCCTCCATCTCCCAGGACGACCTTTTTGTGGATCTGGCAAACCTGAGCCACCTTTTCCTGCACGGCAACAAGATCTGGCAGCTTTCCGAGAATGTCTTCCGGGGTCTGTCTGGATTAGACCGCCTGTTGCTGCACAGGAACCGCCTGCATGCCGTTCCGACTTGGGCCTTCCGTGATCTGGGCAAGCTCACCATCCTCTACTTGTTCAACAACAGCCTGACCACCCTCTCCGGGGAAACCCTCTCAGACTTGCCGTCCCTGGAGTTCCTACGCCTCAACAACAACCCGTGGGCCTGCGACTGCCGGGCCCGATCCCTCTGGGCCTGGTTCCAGCGCACGCGCGTCTCCGTCTCGGACGTCATATGCACTTCTCCGGCTGACCGCGTGGGGCGCGACATGCGCCGCCTCAACGAAACGGCCTTCCGGGGCTGCCCGCCGGGCAACCACCACCCTGTGGGCTTTGACTGGGGTTGCAGGCCTGAGTGGGAGAATGGAGCAGCTCACCCCCACCCCCACCCCCGCCCTCACTCCAATGGCTCATCCAATCACCTCTATGGCCTCGGGGGGTCGCCTCCCGCCGACCCCTCCTCCTTCTACAGGGACGTGCCGGCCAATGACATCCGCAGCCCCAAGTATGACCCACCCACGGAGGACGGCTACTGGGGGGGCTATGGCAACGAAGAAGGGGGGCAGCTGAAAAAGGGGTGCCCGGGACCTGGCTGTTCTTCTCTGGACTCTGGAGGTACCAGGATTGGCGTCCTGTTGCTTCCCTTTCCCTGGCTGCTGATGCTTTGGGGACCTTCCTGGTTTTGACAATGGAGGGTGGCTGCTCTGCTGGATGCTAAGCTGCCTTTATGAGAACTGACTCTCTGGGAGATCCAAGCCAGGATGGGTCCCCACCCAGGGCTTAGCTGAGGCCAAAGGGATTAAGCTTCCTCCTGCTACAGGGACAAAGGGAGACTAGATCCGTTGCTGCTGCTTTCCTGGCCATTTGTGAGACTTAACACTGGAGCCACTTTCTGGGTGGTATCTGACATATTTTGTGAACATATGGCAAGGGCGCCCCCTTTTTATTTCTGGGGTGTTGCATAATTCTGCTAAAGATGTTCCCTTAATGCTACTGCTATCCAGGGCTGTTACGAGGCCTTCTGTGTTTTCCATATCCTGGAAAGAGCAGGGATCTCTTCTGTGCATGACAAGGAAGTGCGGAATGAATGAGGATCTGATCTTCAGAGGTTCTGTTCTTTCTTCAATATCCTACCATGCACATAAGTGCCTGCTTTGTCCAATCAGATAGGATATCTCAACTCAGAAAAAAAAGAAACGAAATACCATTCTCCTCCTGAGCCGCAGAAGGCTACAGGAATCTTGGGCCCTTGTCACTCTTGACTCCTCCCCCATTATTTGGTATATGTTTTGGGGTTTTTAGTTTAAACACCAGGGGACCAAGTCACATAATCAGTTCAGGTAATAATTACCCAGTGCAATGTTTCACTGGGTAAGCTAATCTTCATTGGCAGGGATAGTGTCTACATGATGATGAAAGTGGCTGTGTTGGCTCTTCCATACTACCAAGTCTTAGGCAACAGTTGCAGTTATCTCATGATAAACACGATCATGTGAATTGGCCCTTGCTCATAACTGCTGGTCTTCATTTTTTGTGTGGCCGTGTCCTCTCCCCACCCCACCCCTGGTGCCTCCATGTCTTCCCCTACCCCTATTTTCCCTTGAAAAAAGGCCAAAAAATTGGTTGGTTGGAGAACTATTAAACTATTTTAGTATGGCTTGGTGGACTTGGTCACTCAAGGAAGTTTGTAATGGGATACGCGGACAGAACCATGATGAGGTGTAAGAAGTCCGTAATGGCTGGCTGACTGGAAGTTAACTGGAAATGAGTAGCTCATTCTTCTGTCAAAGGTTGCTCATTTCTTGTATGGATACTTCCTGGAGTAGCCCTTAAGCCAGTCATTTGGTTATTGAAAGAGATCCAGTCCATTCATCCATGGTTTCTTCAGAAATTCCATTATTACAACTGGTCTTCACTCGCATTGAAGTTGTGGTCTATGTCTGCTGCTGTGTAACCTGCGTTTGCTGCAGAGTGCTACACTTGACAAAGAAACACAACTGAGTCCAGCTTCCCAATGTGTGCCTTTTCTTATACAAGTGTTCTCATAATCACATGTTTGCTTTATAAAAGTGTACCTGCTTAAAACAGGCCCCAGAGCTTTGGAACAAGGGCTCCTTTTCAGATACATTAGTCCACAGGTCTTTCTAGGCTTAGTTGGGTTGAAACAGCCTCTACTTCTGTCTTAGCCTGCTGCATAGCTTATTTGCAATATTTATTTATATGCTGCCTTTCAGCAGAAAGTTAGCAAAGTGGTTTACAAAGCAAAATTGGACAACAATTAAAACACCCTAACTCTAAAGCTTTGGCTACACTTTATAATCCGCCCTCTTCCATCAGTTGAATGTTACTTGAAGACCTCATTGGAGAAATTCCAGCAGTGGATTATTCTCACAAATCCTAGAGATAGAGGCTGTCAGAGATGCTGATGGGAAGGAAGACCTGAAGCCATCTCCTGTTGCTGTTGTAGCCTGGCTGGCCCCATAGTAACCATATAGTGTGGTCCTGGAAGTGTTGTTGCATATATAGCCCAAGAGGTTAGTGTCCGAAAGAGCTAGGGGTAATATAAAATCTGGCTGGGACATAGCAATTTGGAAGAAATTACTGGCAGCAAAAACAAGAGCACTGTAGCATAAAACCCAAACACATTTATTTTGGCAATGGATAATACTCCTTAAAGGTTTATGCTTCCACAAGAAGCAGTGATTGCCACCAACTTGGATGGCTTTAAAAGATGATTAGACAAATCCATGGAGGATAAAGCTATCAATGGCTACTAACTCTGATGGCTATGCTCTGCCTCGACTACTGTCAAAGGCAGTATGCCTCTGAATAGCAGTTTCCGGAAGCTGCAGGAGAGGAGCTTGCTGTTGTGCTCAGGTACTGCTTTTGGGTTTCCCACAGACATCTGGTTGGCCACTGTGAGAACAAGATACTGGACTAGATGGGCCACTGACTTGATTCAGTGAGTGGGCTCTTCTTATGTTCTTAGGCTGTAATAAGTGTGTTATAGTCTTTGAGGGGTTGGATGGGCCCTTGGCCTGTTTAGCAGCAAGAGCAACACATCCTGCTACCTCCACTGAAAGTTGCTTCTGTAAGCAATGTGGACCATAGAGAGAGGAAGCTATGTCAAGAGGGAGGCTCCTCATAAGGCAGGGTTGGACATCCTCCTGATGTTAGGGGTCTTCAACTCCTGCCAGCCTGCCAGTGGGTAGGAATGAGGAGTGTTGTAGTCTAACAACATCTAGAGAGCTACAGGTTCCTCATCACAAGGTTTTTCCCATGGGTGTATGAAAGCTTTTGGTGGGAAAGAATCCTTTCATTTTCAGAGCATCCTAATAATTTGTTCTGGCCCACCCTGAAGAAAGATGGCCTCCTCTCAGATTGAAGGGAGAGTCCTTCCAGTCCTGGAATGGGCATCAGATGTTCAGAATGCCAGTAGTACTTACCTCCCTTTTCCTGAGCTCTTACTCCTGTTATACAGTGGTACCTCGGGTTACAAACGCTTTGGGTTGCAAACGCTTCGGGTTACAAACTCTGCTAACCCGGAAGTAGTACCTTGGGTTGAGAACTTTGCCCCAGGAAGAGAACAGAAATCGTGAGGCGGCAGGAGGCCCATTAGTGAAAGTGCGCCTCAGGTCAAGAACGGTTTTGGGTTAAGAACGGACCTCCGGAACGAATTAAGTTTGTGACCCAAGATACCACTGTACACAGTTATTGTATATGTTTTGGGTATAAATATTTGTACAGGGTTAATATTCTAAACAGAGAGGCTTGTGATTGATAACTGGAAGGGGATCAAAAATCGTCTTTTAGGATGCTGTGTTAAATTGAAAATATTCAGTGTTGGTATTCCTCACACAGGTTTCTTTTTTAAAAGGACATGTTCTGCTTAATTCTTTTGATTATTTGCCGAGAGTGTCCTCCTTTGGCAACATGATATGCTTTTAAAAAAATAGTATTTTCTCCTTTCTTGTCCCCATTCCCCTGTTAAGTTTGCCAGCAAGAGAACTATCTGCATCTTAAAACTCTCCAAGTCTCTGCAACCAGTCCCGTCCCCCCCGTTTTTTATTTTTAGTTTTCGAAATAGGCTACAAGTATGTTTTGTAAAGATAGGAGCGATCCCAACCTTCCTAAAATAAAAATTCAATAGAGCCCTGGGGTATGTGTACAGGGAGAGTGTGGATCAGGTGGCTAGCACCAGAATGCTTGGCTTTATAGTGCTTAATATTGCCCTGGGGTGCCTGCAAATTGTGATAGAGAGAGATGGTGCTAGAGAGGCTCTTTTTTAATATGTGGAAAGAAGGGCGGGGTTGGGGTTGAAGCAGCAAGAAGAGCGTGTATATTATCCCACTCTGAGGGCAGCAGCTTTCTTAATTTAACTTCACATAAGGGAGAGAGAGGATGTTAGAGCTGGAAGAGTGGGTTATTTTTAGCAGGTAGAAGGCTGCTCGTAGCCAAAGTTAAATGTGAGAGTACAGGTGTGAGGTATGCATACGTGTGTGTACGTGTGTGTTGTCTGAGGCAGGTTAAATAGGCAGGTCCATTGAAAGGGGTTTTAGGAGCTGGAAGGTGAGGAGAATTGAACACACACACGTACACGTTGGGGTGACTGAGCAACAGAACCAGCTCTCTAGTGTTCCTGTGGAAGGGTGGGCAAGGGAGTGAATGAGTATGAAGTTAGGGTTAATTGGCAGGGGTGCAGGCAAAGGCCAGAGCTGCAGCGAGGGCCATGCTGAGCCGTGAAACGGGAGGAAAGTGCCATTAAATCTGCCAGCAAGACTCCAGCGGGCTCAGTCTTTCCAGGTCAGGTAATTATCCTTGTGAAATATTCATGACCCCTTATCCCAGATGCTATTTCAGAGCAGCAGGGGGGGAAGAGAGGGATGTGAGAATGAAGGCTCGGGAAGATACAAACACACATACGCATAGCTACATCGCAGCATGGAATCTTTACAAATTACACACCGTCTCGTGCCTCCTGCCCACCCTTCCTCTTAAACACAGGCAAACATCCACGAGATTGTGCAGGCAGGGCTTCCTGTCCAGACAGAAGATGATGGGGGGTGACCTGCTCTTGTCGCGGCAGTCAGCAGCCCGCCTCATCTTTGCCACAGCAACAACCCCCCGGAAAACCTAGCGTCTCTCTTGCTTCTTTTGTGCGGAGCCGCTGTGGAAACTGGAAGACGCGTCGTTCCAAAAGGCTTCTGGGGGCTTGGCTCTCCCCGAGAACTGCCACCAACACTGGCCTCTGCTTGTGTGAAGAGATGCGCCGAACTTGCTCTCATTAGTAATCACAGCCACTGACGTCTGGGTAACCCATTTGTTCCAGTTGCTAACCTTTAAGTCCAATTTGCTCCTGAGCTGGGCATGGGCAATCCTTAGGACGAGTGGCAAAAATCTGTTGTGCTGGGATGAGTCACAAATTCCTATGCCTTGCTCAGTTGCAAAGGTGGACTTTGGTAACATGGTGCCCTGAGCAAAGGCAACCCCCCCCCAATATTTCTTATTTTCTCAATAATTTCCTTTGGTACAGTTGCCTATTTTATGGATCTTCTTAGTAGGTACTCATATAAATACATTTGTTGTTGTTTGTTGTTTTGCACCTACTCATCTTGGCACCCTGTGTGGGAAAACCGCCCACATTACCCTGAAACCGGTGCTGCTTGCTTGCCATAAGGAGTGCAGTGCCCCATATAGGGCAGTGGCAGGGAAGCTGTAGCCCTCCATATGCCGCTGGGCTCTGACACTATTGGCCATACTGGCTGGGGATGATGGGAGGCAGAGCCTGATAACTTCTGGAGGGCCAGAGGTTCCCCATCCCTGCCATTGGGCAAAATAGACCTCTGTCCTCACTTTCTCCTGCGTGCTGAACTATTACAGCAGGGCAGTTTGGGGAATGGGAAGCTAAATGCTTTGCGTACCTTACCTCAGCCATCTTTGCAAGAGCCTTGTTACTCAGGATGCTTCCCAAATTTTAGGTTAAAGGGTATGGCTTGATGCAGGGGTTGAGATTTGAAATTGGGCTTGCTGCAGCTCAGGTTCTGTATTTGCTCTTAAGATACCTGGCAGCAACTCCTCCAGACAGGTACGCCTGCATCGGGTGCTAATCCCACACCTTGTCGACCTGCTGTTCTCACAGACTCCTAAACAGAAGAAGTATTTGTGTACCACTGCCCTGCTTAGCCACAGCTCAGCTGCCACAGTCAAAGGACTGGATCCTGTGGCCAGAGTCCTGTGTGTGCAGTCCGTCCACTGGGTGTGGCATCTACAGTTGGAGTGTTCTGCCCTGGACAGGGCCAGTGGTGGACCTAAATTCTGGGGACCCTGAAGCTCAAACAGTCATGGGGGCCTCTTTACAATCAGCAACAAGGTCTGGGTAACCAATGTTATCTTCTTCAATGGGGTTGTTTACAACATCTGTGCTACTGACTCTCAAACTTTGGGATTGTGTGTGTGTGATCCATTAGAGTCATGCAACTCAGATTGGTTCTACTAGACCAGGGGTCTGCAACCCACGGCTCTGGAGCTGCATGTGGCTCTTTTACACCTTTGCTGTGGCTCCGGAGCGGATACTAGCGAGGGGAGGAGGCGCATTGTGCACCCCGACACTCCCCACTGTGGCGGGCGCTGTACTGGCTGTGATGTCGCATGGGGGCGGTGCG